AATGTGTGGACAAGTGAGTGAATACATGAGTACATTCTGCAGTTAAAGTGTATTTCTTCCTTTGCAATCGGATGCGAATGACTTATCGATCACATTATTTCACCGTATTTTCTATTCAGAGTTATTCTTCCAAATCTTTTAATGTTGATCTTATATTTATCTCTTGAAATAGATTGGGGAAACTTCCTTTAAGAAACAACTCATCTAAATACTGCGCTTTTTATTATACTTGTAAGGATATAGTCAGCTGTCGTAATACAATTGTTGACATTTAGGCTTCACACACAAGGAGGAGAGAGAGAGAGAAAGAGGGAGAGAGGCAAAGAGTGAGGGAAGAAGAAGTAGGGATAGGAAAAAACTTTTGTCATGGACCAGTATAACGATTGTGGAAAGAATATAAGTGATCACAGTCTTTCCTGTGCAGTCATCAACTCTAGGATCAGGACAACTAAAAATAATCTTTGCCCACTCTTTCCTTACCCAGGAAAATTAGACAGTGAGTGTCACATTAAATTATTCTGGGCCGTGGATACATATGATCTGAAAACATTCTACTCAACCAGGGGAAATGCACAGGAATACAAGAATGAGTGAAGACAAAATGAAGACAAAGGCACCCACAATTCCAGGACAGTGGGAGACTGAAGCCAGGGGTCAAAAATTTGACTCCAGCCTGGGCAATTTAGTCACTTAGTGAGACGGTCTCAAATTGGAATATTTTTAGAAAGAGTTATAGATATCGCTCAGTGTGGAAGCTCTGGGTTCAATCTCTAGTACAGCCCTAAGAACAATAAAAGTCATAAAACAGTAAAGTGTCTTAAGACAGCCTGGCTTTGAGGAGAAGGGGCTGGACTTGGGTCATACGAAATCAGAAGGGTGACTGTGGGGTGACGTGTTCAAGTTGGGTAGAATGATCACACTGAGGGTTTAGGTCACTGTGTTTCTTCCTCGCTCAAGGGACCCAGAAATCCTTGGAGAAAGAAACAACTTCAAGTTAGGGGCAGCAAACACTACATGACCTTCACAAACCAGAGGGAAAAGGGCACTTCCACGCCAGCAGGGCCACACGTGGAACACACAGGAGCCAGGGAAAAAGGACCTCTGGCCAAGGAAGAGGCTTTCACGGGTGTCCTGACCATGAGAAGTGAACACAGCGGGCCTGGGTTCCATAATATTCCTCACATCTGTCCACTCTCTGGCTCTTACAGAGAGCTTCTCTGAAATCCTTGCTCAACTACCCTCCACCTCTGGCCTTAGTGTCTTGTGCACACCCTCATTTTAGAGGCTGCAAAATCCATAGAAAATGTGCACTCGGCCCCCCATGCTTAATCTCATGAAATCTGGGTCACGGATTTAGTCTTTACATCCTCATAAGAAAACGTGCCTCTGCACCCATGTGACCACACACTGTCCTGTCAGACAGAAATGATATTTGAAGGAGATTTGGTTTTCTTTGAGTCAAGATGACCCTTTCTGTCTTGTTCCAAATTCATTTTTTTCTCATGCAATCGTTCTAATTACTTACTGGAATAAAATGAGTAGAAAGAATTGAGAATTTGTGTATGTCTTAGGAAATAATTTTTTGTGCAACTGATATTGCAAGGGAGAATTATGCCATTTTCAGTCTTATAAGATGGGCAGCAGCCTCAGTTAAAATCTCTTAGGTGCAACTGTACCTCACATCTGCCCTGTTCTCCAAACACTTTCTCCCTGCATTGCTTGAGAGCATATTGACACACACATGCTGTACTCTGATCTAAAGATACTCACCATCTGAGAATAAAACGAGGGGAAAGATTTAGTACTATGTGAAGAACACAGCGCAGTGCAGAGGTAACACCCAAAACAGGTTTGAATTCTGTTCTAACAGCAACTTTCTTGTAGCACGTAATTTTGAGTCTACCTTTTTATCCTTAAAATTACATAATTGGAAAAGATAAAATAACAGCCTTCTGTGCATAAGTTTTCTGTTTTTTTTTAATGGCTGAAACAAACCATTGTGCATTCTGATTTTCCGTCAAAATATTTTATATCCTTGGAATGAAAGGACATTATTTAGGAAAGGGAAGATCATCAGGCATTTGCAATTTTCAACATGGATTTTTAATGTACAACTTGCATTCTAAGATGTCATAATTAATGGTTTCAAGATAGAAAATTACTTTTTGAAAATGGAATTCTATTTATTTTAGAGTTTATTCCATGCACACAGGTACACGTTTAATGCTTGGTTATATAATAATCTAGCACTTACATGAATCACTTAATTCTGCAAGTATTTCTGAAACTTTACTGTGACAAGCTCTCACCTGGGAACTGGTTAGAAATGCAAATTCCTAGGCTCCACGCAGAGATTTCAATTCAGCAGGCTCAGGTCGAGCAAGATATTCACACTGTTATTCCACAGCCAGGTAATTCAGATGCCATTGCCCTGGCGTGTTCAGCTGTTTGGATCTGAACTGTCCCCCGGTGCCTTCAAGCTGGGGCCTTGGGCGCCAACCGATGGGCTCTCCGAGGCTCTACCCATGATCGGTCCATCGATGAAGTCGTAACTCAGTGGGCTTGTTAGGAAGTGAGCCTGATGAGATCAGACAAGCCCTAGGGGAACAGCCTCGGCAGCCACACGTGGTCCGCAGCCTCTCCTGTGCGGCTCTCGCCCTACGTCCTTCCCAGCTCCGAGAGGACAGCCGCTCTGCTCCACCGTGCCCCTCCCAACATGCTGCTTGCTTGGCCTCGGCGGAGGTCCGGGAGCTCACCACGGACTGAGTCCTCTGAAACTGCGGAGCCACGGTACCTCTCTCCTACACTACGTTGTGTCGTCAGGGATTCTGCCTCAAAGATAAAAAGCTCAGGCACATCCCTGAAAAAGTACAGCCTAATCGCTGTTTGTTTTCATAATAATTGCTTCAAACACCGATGCTAACATTTAAAGATCTACGGGGAGAAGGAGCGCAGCGTTCTGCACACATTCCAACACTTGCTTGCGTTTAATTGTAAGAGGATGAATCTTAAACTTCGCTCATCCACTTTATCTGCTTGGCTCACATTACACTGCGGCGAAGAGAAAAACCAGGTGGAGCAGAACGAGTTTACAGTGACCTAAAGCTTTCCACCACCAGTAACAATCGGGGGACCGGTGGGCTGCGGACTGGAAATAAATGGGCTCCTCCCATCCTCTGGGCTCTCTAGACCCTCCATAACCTCCGCATTCTTTTATGGTCGTGAGCCGTGTCGGGAGTGAAACACTGGGCTGCTGGGTTCTACTCCGGAGACCAATGTCACTGTGACAAGCGCTCCAGGCCCCCTCGCTGGGACCAGTGCAGCTTGACCTCTCCTTGCAGGGCTCTTGCTGCGCGTAACCTCTGGGCTCTACGTCCCTTTATTTTGATTCCACACAGCGACAGGAGCATGGATTCCGCGCCTCCAGATCAGATAGGTCAGATACGTTCTGTCCAGTGTTTCATAAATGTGGTTCTAAATCAAGGTAGGCTAGATAAAAACCCATGTATGCTTTCTGTTTCTGTAGTTTTTTAAATTCTCATATTAAAAACATCTTCTAGTACAAGTAGAAAAGTCTTGTTTCTAAGATACACATAAGTATCCTCATAACATTATAATACAGAGATTATAATTTCACAAATCATGTTTATTCCTTAGGCCTATTTTTGAAATATAAAACCAATACCACCTATAAAAAATTATGATAGCACCTTAATTCTGATTACAGATGTCTAAGTTTTTAAAACAAACTTTAGAAATAGCTGAGCTAAAATTATTATGTCTGTATTATATCAGTATGTTGTTCAAATGGAAAAAATCATTTGGAAAGGATCTTTTTAAACCTCTTGTATTAGAGAAGGAAAAATACTATACTTCTTATTTTGCTTTTTTCCCAAACCAAAAGTTAAAAATAAAACCATCAAATCATATTTTTGTTCATACAATTACTACATTTGATCAATTCACATTGCTTTAAAATTTTTAACTTATATGTGTTTCAAAACATGACCAGTATGTCACCCAGAAGAAGTTCAAACAATTTACCAACTAAATTGTAGCCATTCATTTATTTTTTTACTTCAGAGAGATCTGAAATACTGGAAGACTTCATTTGAAGAATGTTAATATATTTTTTTCAAAAATTATTCTCTTCAGTTAATTCACTGAAGATCTAAATCCCACAGAGCAGAGAACCATGAATACCAAGGAACACAGGATGAGGAGCCCTCGGTCAGGAGAGAGAGTGAGATATGATTTCATACAACCCTGAACGGAGGGTGATAGTGTCTCTGAATTCACACAGCCGCAAGGGGGAGACACAGAGCAAAGATCCAGGCTGTGCGAATGTGTGCATCCATTCAACCACTAACGTACAGCTGGCACAGCTTGGATGAGTACAATAGGGATGCTGAATTTAGGAGGGGTTATTTTAAATATTTATTTCATTATCACTAGCACTACTGGAAAAATAGATGTTTAAGCACATCTAATTTATATAAAATACAAAGAGAGCATAACTTAAAAAATAGGCAGTGAAACTGCAGGACTGTGCCTGAAAGTGAAAAACCATCTCGTTATGACAGTGGATAGTTTCCAATTTGTCTCTAAATCACCCATCGGCCAATGCTGAGAAAACCTGAGTTAATTACGTAATTCATAACGTTCATCAGATAAATCAAGCCAAATTTTGGCAGAAATGCAAACTTTCTTGGCACTAAAACCAAAAAGACATAGCACAAAGTAAGACAAGAGACATAAACTCCTTTTTTGCATAATTCAGATCCCAGGATATCTAGAATTAATCCAGAATTAATCCATTTCATTCAAAACCATATAATATACAGATGTACATAAGATAATTTCATAGCTGGAACAAGTCTCCAGATTCATTTTATAGTAATCCTACCTTAAAGGCTTACTCCTCTATTACTATTTGTACTGATTTATGTGAATCCATAATTGTTCTTTTAGATTTCTAAGTGGCAGAATTTTCTTTTCAGGAAATTCCAGTGCTAAATTGAAAATGCATACAACCAAACCGGATGTGTTGACATGGAAAAAGAAAGATATCATGCAGCTGTCAGACAAAAGAAGGTGCCAAAAAGGTAATATCCAAAATTTCTATAGTTTTACTATAATTGCTTCAAAAATCTAATCCTGCTATGGGTATATGTATTAAATGAGATTGCAATGTATTACAAAAGGTTTAAATCATACAGAGTATTTCATAAAAATAGTCAAAATAAACTATATATTGTTATCCAGAAAAAAGAACAAAATGAACAAGTAGAATATTCCCAACTTGCTGAAAATTGAAAAACACAGTTTAAAATAAATCACTAGTTAAAGGTTAAATAAAAATAAATCAGAAAAAATTTTAACTGCATTGTAATGAAGATGAAACATGAAAATTTGATTCAGTAAATCAAATTTATAACCTTAATTTAAAATAGTGTAAAGAAGTCTTAAAATTAATGGGCTAAATTTCTAACAAATTAAGTTAGGAAAAAGAACAGCAAGTTAAACCCAAATTAAATGAAAGTAAGAAGGTAGTTTTTTAGGAAGAATAGTAGAATATTAAAAAGATTGAAGTTGGCTGTTTGACAAAATTAACCAAACTCAAAGAATCCTCATTAGTTAAGTGAGAAATTGGGCAGGGATTTAGGTCAGTGATGCTATCACCTGCCTCACAAGTGCAAGGTCCCAAGTTTGATCCCCAGTACCAAAGTGGGGGGCAAATTATCAATGGCAAGAGTAAGAAAAAGGACATTATTTCAACCTTACCAATACTGATAAACATAAGAATTGCAAGGTAAATCAAATAATAGCCAGTATTATTTAGGTTAAAGAACTATATTTAAAAATATAATTTATAAAAACTTAAAAACATAACAAAAAAACTTGGTTAGTTCAAAACAATAAATGTGTTATGGGGAACTTACCAAGAAACTAAAATTGTGCCAATGACAAATTTAACATAATATTTAGGCTGAGATAGCATTCATCTTACACAGAAATCATTTGGGGAGACAGAGCAACTTAGTGTCTTATAAAGACCCTCTGTTAAAATAGAAACTAGAAAGGGCTGAGAAGGTAGCTCAGTGTGAAAATTGGGTTTATTCCCCAATGCTGGAAACAAAACAAGTACAGATAAGTCTTTGTCATAATGATGAAAAAATTTTAAATTAATATTGACATGAAAACAGCCTTGCACAAAAAGAATAAAATGACATAATAAAGAGAGTTTATTGTGATATTCATGGTATGGTTATTTTAAAATTCATAAGTATAATTCACCATATGAAAACAAAAAAGGAGAAATTATTACCTATGATAAGTATTGAAAGTTTTGGTCCTGAAATTAGCAGAAAGGTAAGACTGTCTTCTATAATCATCATTAATTAATGTCATTGCAAAGATGCAAAATAATGGGGGGAAGACACAAGAAATGGAGGGGAAGAAATAAGTGTCATTATTTGAAGATAGCATTATTTACACTACAAATATATAAACTATTAAAATTAACCAATAAATTTAACAAGGTTGCTGATTATATAGGCCAATACTTAAATCATTCAAATTTCTCTAAATCCCAAAATCAAAAAAATGAATTTAGGATGAGACTTGTTACCAAAATGCGTTAGTCAGGTTTTCATTCCTATAACAAACACCTGAGATGGATCAACTTAAATGGAGGGAAGGTTTATTTTTAGCTGATAATTTCAGTGGGTTCAATCCATGGTCTTCTGACCTTGCTGCTTTTGCCTTGTAGTGATCCAACATATCATGGTGGCAGCATGTGGCAAAGGAGCCAGCACACAGAGCCAGAGTAAGGGCCCTAGTACTCCCTTCAAGGACAATCCCCAAATGACAGGACTTCCTTTCTTGTCCCAAGGGTTCCACCTTCTCCCCACAGACGATGAGCATGGGCCCAAACCGTTCAACACACATGCTGTGACTGTCAGTCGTGATATGTTGACTTGATTGGATTAAGAGCCAAGCTGAATTATGTACATGTACCACGTACTACCATAAATTAACAATATGACAATTTAATGAAGCAATAAACACCTAGCTGATAAGTAAAACACTTAGTGGAACAATTAAGTGTTACAGGTGATGGTTTGCTTTAAAGATAATAGGTTCTACTTCTTTGTTTACAAATTATAACTGCATTGGAATGAGCCTTAATAGTAATCAGTCTTTTGACCCATCTACATTTGCTACTAGACTTACTTGGGATAATTTAAAACATCTGCTTTTTTCTATGTTAATGTCACGTATTAATCTGTATTTGCACATTTCAAGTTAATTGGCTAAGGATTAAAATCTAACCCCAAGAAAGTTAGCATTGAGAAATCACTGTATAAGTAAATGCACAGTGAATAGCCAGTTTATCTTATTTTATTTGTAACCAAACTTCAGAGTGTATGCAATTGCTACAGTGTTTGAAAAGTTAATTCAGGATGCCAAGGACAACTGCCCAAAAACGAAAGCAAATAATAATACCAAACATCATAAGCTACTTTTCACAGTTCTGCTCTGAAAGAGAGGATTACAAAAACATTATTTGTTAGAGTCACAGCCAAAAAAACAAACATGTCAAGGCAAGAATAATCGAGCCATTAAAAATTCCAGTTCAAATGAGACCTCTAATTAAAATATTACAAGTGAAAAGAGAACAGTTTGAATTGTCAAGATGAAGAATGATGGCTTGGGAAAATCCCACACTTGAACCATAATTTAAACAACATGTTTATTATGCGAGCTTTGCAGCGCTGAGCTTGGGTTGCACGGCTTCCAGATAGGCAACATTCCACGGTCTGGCTTAAGAACCTATCTCGTATCCTGAGTGTGAATAGATTAATTGTTCCCAATCACAAGTAACTTCCATTTTCTACTCAGGTGATGTGAAGAAAAGGTGAGGGTTTCATGACTGTTAAGTCTCACATTTTTCAGCTTTGTAAACCAAAATAATTCATACATTTTGAGAAAGAGTATTTTTAAAATATACATACGTTTTAACTTGAAATCTTAATCTTGACCATTGTGTCACTGTGGAAATTAGGTTAGAAATACATTTTGTCTATATTTTCACAATGTTTCTGAAGATATAGGGCAACAGCTGAATTAAAGTTGCACCATTTTTGTGAGTAGTATTTGGTCCTATAAATAAAGTTCATATGATTTGTTAATAGTTTGACCCCTTGTCGTATCTGCAAACAGCCTGACATTTAACAGTATAATTAATATGTTAGACAAATGAAGGAATACTATCAGAAGGCCAGAGTTTTCTGGCAGGAAATCTCTTTAGATTTAGCCAAGTAACACTTTGGACCATGAAGATGTTATTTATAAACTGTAAATTTTCAGTAGGAGAATGGAACAACCTAATAATCTTAGGGCAGGCACCTTAGTTTACAATTTTTGGTTTAGTTTTAAATAGCAATCCATGTATCTATTTTCCTTAAACATATTCAGAGCTCATTACAGGAGATTTATCCATGAACAATATTTAAATATTCTTGATCATGGGAATCTGAACTGTTTCTCCTTTCTCACTTAACACAGTCTTAATTCATCTTTTTGAAAGTGAGATGTCAGTTTTATGTATTTTCAACAAAGATAGTGATATTTCAGGTTATAGTGTGCTATAAATATTAACATTATTTTTTGCTTGTTATATTTCCCCAAAGCAAGTAGCTAAATATTTTCAAAGTCACTGTCAGTTAAGTCATTTCTAATTCATCAGTTTAATTGTGTAGAGGTAAAAGCTATTTCTGATGTATAGTTCTACTATTAAATCATTAAACAGTGCAGTATTTGATGGGCACTGTTAAATATGCAGATTAATAAAAGTTGTCTGTACTTAGTGTCATCTCTGGTCTCCTGCTGGAGAGAATTAAAGCAGCATCGTATGTTTGTTACATATGACCACATTGTCCTACACCAGTGATGGCCAACCTTTTAGAGCTTTCAGTGACACTAACAGCCCACCGTGACACGGGTGCCACAGGTTTTCCACCAGTGTCCTAGTTGTAGCCAATGGAGAAGAAACAAGTAACTCGTACTTAACAAGGCCAAAAATGCTCTGAGAAGGAACTTCCATGCCCTGTGAGTGGATGGGAGGAATTTATACAGCAAGAACTTCAATGTATATTAACAGAGTTGTGAGAAAGCCATTTTGTTAACCGTTCCAGCAGCTGTTTTTATTTATTCAGAAGTTCAGATTCAAAATGCTTACCTCTTCTTATTACCATGAAGTTTGTAAAAGATAAATAAATGCGCACTCTGGTCCAGCTTCAATCCATATTTAGTCTTATCTCACGGAGGTCCTTGAAGTCTAGGGTAGGAATAATGGAGAGGCCTGGCCAGCTTGCAGGTGAGAGCAGAGAAAAGGTGCAGGTGGCTGGGGTGGATTGGATGTTACCTCCTTCTGCAAGGAAGCTGCCCCAGGGCTGCATAGATAGCACAGACACCATGGAGAGGGCCTCCGGGCTCTGAGCAGAGTGGGCCTGTGCAGATTCTCCATCATGTCTTGATCTCATTCTTACTTTCCCTCTGTCTTTCCCTAAATAATGACCATAGCCAGTTACTCTCAAATCAACACAGGAAGTTGATTACATAATAATTATCCCTGAATTTCCTTATGTGTTTCTAGAAGGAATTGCCTCCATCTTTATAAACTTCCTGGGCCAGGTAGTCAAGTCCAATGGGGATATTTTATCACAGGTTCTGGCCCATACATGGGAAATTTAACATGGGAAATGAAATGAACTGTTCATGAAGAACAGTCACCCTCAGCAATCACCCTGGGAAATACGTGTGAAACAGATACACTTTTAATTTTTGGAAGTTTCAGGTCTTCATTTCTTGCTCTATGATTTCTTTCTTTCAAACTTGGATAGCTAATATCCAAGGTTTTATCCATGGTACTAGTTCTTCATGGAGCTAGCTCTCCTGTGTTCAGCGTTTCTGTGTTCTCACCTGTGTGTAGGACTCCATTCTTTTTATCACATCTGTGTACACTCACAGTTGACAAACTAACCCTCCGTAATCTTTGCATGCAGTGCATATTAATACACTAGAAGAACACCTGAAGGGT